AGAATGGCATTAAAGGTATTCATCATGAAATGGAATCACTTTAGAGATGGGCATGCAATGTGTATACCTCCCATGATGCTGCCGTGCAAAGTCAACATTTTCTGGTTCCTAACAAGGCGCTGTGGATCAGGCAGGAGAGACTGCCATAATGCACTTGCAAAGCAGGACTTGGGGCTGGCAGCCACCAGGCCCTTTGCTTTGCATGCACAGGCTCTAGGAGCCAAAGGGACTTTACAGCTGGACGACACCCGGTCTGTGGGATAGATGCTTTGACTTGGTACTTACCAGGGCCAACATGGCTGTTAAAGGACATTCAGAAATTCATCCCTTCATCACATCCTGCATTCCCTTGTAATAACTAGCTCTTTATCAGGGAGGAAATGAGACTTGATGAAAGCAGAGAGATTGCTATGTAGTTGAAGGGTAATATTAATTATACTCTGGATATGATGTTTGAAGCGGTAGCCACTGCCTTCTGCCAGCCAGGTTTGCTCAGCAGTACCATTCTCTGTTCAAACTACAATGCTACTTTATCTAGTTTTGTTTTTTTTTATTAGGCATGTAAATTTTTTTTAAATTACTTTGTTTTATTAATGTGGGCCAAACACTGAAGATTTGGAAGGGAGCTTGCAGTGGCCATTTCCATAACACAGCATTTCTCTTTCTCATACCTGACAAAATTCAGCATTCTTTTGACTGCTGCCTTGGCAAACAAGGCTAGAAGGTAGCTCCTTGTGAATTCTCTGCTGGAGAGCCCAGTATTACTGATCTCACCACAAGAGGTTAACTTCAGCAACTGAGGCTCACCTAAAATCCAGCCACTGGCAATGAATGAATGAAAGGCTAAAAACCGTAACAACTGAGATAAGGGGCAACATAATTCGTCTAACTTTGGTGAACTCCTGGGGTCTGAGTGACAGTGCCCTGGCACTAGGTACATTCGAAATTCACAGCGCGTTTTTGCAGAGAAAATATGTGGAATGTTTTGAACCTCTTTTCATGGTCTCCTACAGTAAACTTTGCTTCCCTCATCTTCTGCTGTAGAGCTAGAAGGAGGTAAAGAAAGGAGGGGGAGACAGAAGAAAAGAGCTTAGGTTTTCCCAGTTTATGGTCGCTCGACAGACACACAAACCCTGGAACAATTTCTAAAGGTACAGAACCTGCTGGAAGCAAATATGACTTAATATATTGTGATTTGCACAGGGAATTCTCTCCGTTGTTCCATCAACCTTGGTTCCTACAGGGGAAAATGCCAGTGGATAAAATGCTTGCTCTTTACAAAGGTGTAATATTCTAAAATGAGTGGTCTTAAAAAAATTAAGTCTGCCGATGACTTCTGTTTCTGCAATGTTGTTTCTGTTTTGAGGTTTTTTTGAGTCAGGTTTGTCCTAAATGTAATTTGGTTTGGTTTGGGTTTTTTTTGTGAATGAATTGCTGATGTAAAGGTGTGATGCTCTTGGTGGATTTGGCTTCACTGCAAAGATTATCTGTTCACTGGGAATTTTAGCAACTGACTTTTACACAATGGGAAATAAGGTCTAGATCCTTGTTCTGTGATGCCGATTTTTATTGAGTAGCCTTCTCACTGAGCTGGATGTGATTGCACAAGGAATGAGGCACTGGTCAGCCTGAGTAAGGTCATTGGTCCTTGCTGACTCTACCATTTTTCAGTTAATCTAGCTGAGGTTGAAACATCCCAGACAAACACTCTCTGTTTATAAACTTCTCCTTGCTCATGCAGGGGATCTGATGCATCTTGGATGAGCCAGACTCTCTGGATCTAATTCTTAATACTGTAAGTTGTCTGCATGTGTGTGGTTGATTTGAGGTGCTCAGGATGGATCTGTTGCATGTGCAGATCTGTTGCACTGGGCTCTGTGTGGCTCATGGACATCCAGGAATAAGTATGGGTTGTTGTAGTCTGGCCTTAAACTGCTTCTTTTGTTGTCTCTGCTGAGGAAGAACAGCTCTTTAACCCATCTTCATTTGCTATTTTCTGCAAGTCCTTTAAAAGGATTTCAGGCGACAAGGTTTCTCCGCAGGTGATTTTGTGAGGGAATGTGCTGAAACGTCTGTCTTGAACCATCAGCTGAACTGCTCTATGATTTGCAGGGGGTCCAGCTGCTTTGTGTGTCTGCCCATCAGTCCCTCCCCTAACAAATTCTTAGCCCACTGGTCACTGCCAATCAAATTTGATAATGAAATAGAGACCCCAGAGAGGCTTTTTCCTCTAATCTCTATGGAAATAGGGAACCAGCAGAGAGGCTACAGCCTCAATTCCATGTGTTTAGAGATCAAGCCAAATACTGGTAGGTTCTGCTCATCACAGACCTCTCTGCTGTGCATCAGCCTCCCAGCACTTTTGGTCAGACACAGTCTTGCCACTTTGCCACATGTTAAAAAACCAAAAATCACACTGGGTCTTAGAAGGTTGCGTGAACTGGAGGACTAGGCTGTTGAGGTTTTGTTGTACTCCTCTTTTCTGGATGCTTCCCAAGAGCCTCCATGGAAAAGCTGAAGGCAGGAATGGGAAGGACCTTTTGATTTAGAGCGGGCATGGACTGCTGTGAAGAAAGGCACAGCTTAGTTTAATGCAGCTGTAAGCCATGGATGGAAAATGCTGCTGTTGTAATTCTGGCAGTCAGCCTGTATGTGTGTGTAGATGCCCACGTTCTGGTGTAAAAATGTGTGTGCTTTTGCACCCCACTAAGGTGTACTGAAAAGAGTCTGTGTCTTAAAAAAATAGTGTAGTGTGAAAAGAAATCTGGGAAAAACAGGAAGGCTGAAATAAACCAAGGGTCTGCGACCTGTGTTGACACAATTATGAGTCAGTTCATACCTTTTGGTTCCCTCTATGTTTACAGGAGACTCTGTGTTTGACTATCCATCATCTGGTGTCTTACTAAAAGACTTGCTTAGTAAAGCCCTTTTTTCCCCTCCTTCTTGTGCACAGAAACAAAAATCAAAACACCTGAGAGAAAAACTGTTTTTTGATAAATAAACAAACACTGGAAACATCTTTATTAAAAGTGCCATTTAGCCAAGGAACTATTTTTTGGATTGTACTTAAAAGCAGCTTCTTTTCTCCTTTCTTTTTTTGTCCAAAATACACAACACGTTTTGCAGGGAGATTCAGTGGCCTTCATTGTGTGCTAATTAAATAGGCAAGTGGAACAGGGGTGCTACTCTAATACCTTTACAGGGCTCTGAGAGAGGCTTGTATACATATACTTGTATACTATGAATGGGTAATATATGTTTCTATTTGCGGACCTCTTCCTGGCTATATTTAATTGTATTAAACCAGCTAGCCCTTTGGAGGCCAGAATTGGCACTAGTGGCCCTTTCAATTGATGAAAACTGGTGTTTGAGACACTAGTGACAATGACTCACGTGATGGATGCTGCTTGTTGATGGTGTTCTGCTATCTTCAAAATTAACAGATGAAAGCTTAGCAAAAGAGATGTTTCAAGGGAAGGGAAAAATAGCAAGGCGCAGCTTTAAAAATGCCCACATTTGACAAACACGACATGAAGAGATGCCACAAGTTAGGGATACCCACTAGTTTAAAGGCCATCAGTAAACACAAATATAAGAAAAAGTTGTAATTTTAAAGGCCAGAGTGTCTTTTTGATGATAAAAGATTCTACATGTCTGTAAATATTTCTGAATGACGCAAAAGGTTCTGTTGGTTAAAAGTGTGGAATTTTTATTTATTTTGCTCAGACCCATTCTGTGCTTTTTTCTTCCATAAAAAAACTGCTTGGGTGAAAGAGTTCATTATTCTGATCTTTGGCAAATTTTCTTTCACAACTGTCCAAATGCTATGTAATAAATCAAGATTTTTTTTCCCCATAGATTGAAGTTTGTGGGGAAACTGCCACAGAATGTGTCTGCTGTTTGTTGCATAGAGTGATTTGTTGCATTATTGCAGAAAACTTTAACTCCTTCAGTAAAGCAGTTTCTGGTTGTGCATTGTACTCAGGTAGCAGGAGAACTCTGATGACTTGTTAAATACTTATATTCAGTGAGATTTCACAGTCAGAGAGATCAGCCCCATTAATACTAATTTTGCCATGCTTGGTTTAAAAAGAGAAAAAAAAAATCCCCCCTGTGCCATTTAACCCCTTTCGTGATATTTGCATCCCATTTGTCCAGGGTAAAAGTAGCTTGAGCTTCCAATTCCGGCAGGTTCTTTTCAGTGTTGTTAAAAATACACTTCTGTGTGAGAAATGCTTTGTAGAGATGGTTAACAGAGCAAGTGGGACAAAACTGAAGCCACAGAGTTCACATGCTCACTTTTTACAAAAACTGGCTCTTTTTTTCCCCCCACTTTTTTTTGGTATTGTACTTTTTCAGACATGATCAAGACCTTCACCTACATGATTTTTTTTCAGCCACTTTGGAATTAATCTGCCTGGAGGCATATTGATGGTGCAGGCTCTGCAATGGGATTCAGACCTACCTAAACAAGGTTTTTTGAGCTACAAGCATAGGCGCTGATAGCAATCAAGAAGCAACAGTATGGACATCAGTGACAGAGAGATGCTTGAGTTTTTATCCAGGTTCCTAGAAATGCTTTGCAGCCTACACTGAGCTCCATCCTGTGGCAGAGAGACTGCTAATATACCCTGGTTATCTCGTTTAAAGGGATCTTGGGCAA